AAAAAACGTCAAAAACACTAAATTTTACGGAAGAAATGGCAGAAGGAAGCTGCACTCAGGCTTTTTTTTAAAATTGAAAATGGGTGTGGCGACGCCCACTTATGGACCAAAAACCATATCTCAGGAACTACTCAACCGATTTCAATAAAATTCGGTATGTAATATTTTCTTAACACCCTGATGACATGTACATGTGAGATCGGTTCACAACCACGCCTTCTTCTAATATAACGCTATTTTGAATTCCATCTGATGCCTTCTCTGTATAATATATACACTAGGAACCAATGATGATAGCGGAATAAAACTTTACACAAATACGGTATTTGATGCGAGAGTATAAAATGTTCGGTTACACTCGAACTTATCCCTTCCTTACTGTTTTTTTTTTTTAAGTAAGGAGCCTCGAAATATATCACCCAATGTATGAAAATGCCTAGATTGAGATCCTTGATTCTGGTTGACTTTTTACACTTTAAAGTATTTCCCTGCCAAGTGGCAAGAGCATAAAATATTCGGTTATACTCGAACTTATCCCTTCCTTACTTGTTTATTTTGTGGTTCAATGGAACCAGCAATGTTAGTATGATTATAATTATACAGAAGAAATCAGTTGTACATATGTATGTATTCTCAAGAATTGCTTTCTTACCACACATAATAACTATATTTCTGTTATATACATGCATGTATTACATACTTACACATATGTATATTCGTATGTCTATGTTCGACTTTAAAATATTTTTCTCACACAAAGCACAGACTTTAGCGATATTAATTATTTAGCATTGGTACATATATACTTTTATCTTAAAGTTATATAAATTCACAGTTATTTGGTAAAAGTTCTCCAAAAATTCAGTTATTATATTATTTTCAACACACCCACTATTTCTACTACAATTTTTATAAATTTCTATTAAAATTTTCAATATTTGCAATTACTAACCGTGAAAATAAATTTATAAATTATATTATTTTCAACACACTCACTATTTCTACTACAATTTTTATAAATTTCTATTAAAATTTTCAATATTTGCAATTACTAACCGTGAAAATAAATTTATAAATTTAATTAATGTAATACCGCAGTGCTTTTGGTCCGATTGCCGTTATTGACGACATCAAATCTTAATATGTACTGACTTATGACTTTACGCTTAAGCTATATTTTGCCAGATTATGCTCATAAAACCGCAAAGTTTTTTGCACTCGATTATTAAGAAAATTTCAAAAATTTTATTTTCACTCAGAATTATTTTTTGGTGACATAATTATATATCATCCAAAAGGCCGGGACCATCACCTTTCCGGCCTTTACCTTTTTCGGAGCTAGTTCTCCTTTTGAATTCCACTGTTATGACTATTACTTGATTTATGGTGTATACCAATGGATTCAGTTTTCGAAAACCGCTAAAACTGCTCCGGATTGCGTTTAAATAGTTTCAAAGGCTGCTGTGAAGTGTACTCATAATTGCACTTGTTGTCCGGAATGAGAAAACTCGGCATCCGTTGCTACGCCCACTTTCATATGCAAAATGTTCCATGCAAGATTTTGAAAATAGCGTAGCTCATTCAGAACCTACGTGTGACCACTTGGAAACTTGTTAAACTTCTTTATGTCAGTCGACATCGAAAAGGAGTCAAGGCATAGAGCATCGACTTTACTTAAGAATCTAGTAATTTTTTCATTTTTTCATTTTCATGACTCAACTAAGGGGTTTTCATTTACTCTACATTATATTTATATTTATATATGTACATATAAGTACCTACCACAGCATTTTTTATCCATATGTACATTCGTTGATCATGTTTTATGTCTACGAGCGAGTATTATCATGCGAGCGCAGATACCAGGTAGCTCGCGCTTGCATACAGAGACGTTTTTCAAGTAGTTTCTGTGCAATCTGTATGTCGGCTGGCTGCAAACCGAATTGACTTTCCTCAAATTACTCATAAAACCTTGGCGCAGTGACTAGCAAAAGCATGTTGGCATGTTAGTTTAGAAAGCTTATCTCGGAAAATATACTTTTTGATTGTCTGATGCTGTATATGATTCAAATACTAACTAGCGACCAGTCTGGAGGCAAGTCCGCAGAATGGAGCTGACAGATCGAGAAGACTGAAAAAAATGTCTGGATCAAGGCACCAGGAAGATAATGGAGCATCTCTTGTGCACTTGTCCCGCATTGGTAAAAGAGTACGCTGTAGGCATCTGGAATCCCCATCTGGTATCGCCAAGGAGCAAAACTGGTATATGCGTAGTTCACTGACCTACCATACTAACTTAACCTAATGCTGTATATTAGCTGGCTCAAAATTTACAAACTGTAAGACAACTAACAATCTGTATAGTGTGCTCTTTGGAACATAAGTGGTTAAAATTATAAGAGCGACCCTTAAGCCCTTAAGTTGCAACAAGTATCTTTTAGCATCCACGTTACATTAACACAACAGTCATATCGATTGTGAATGTTATGAATCTGATATTAAAAACGGTCGACTGAACAGCTTTCATCCTAACTACCTAATAAACTTATCAAAAAGGTCACATACGAATCGGCTTTATACCTTAGTAGGCACATAATATTTATACTCTATATGATCAGCGTGAGGAACGTGAGGAATCTATACAGTATGAATACGCCCACAAGTCCCTCAGTTTTTGAGATATCGATCTGAAATTTCGCGCACGTTCTTTTCTCTCTAAGAATCTGTTCATATATCGGAACCACCACTATCGAACAATTACAGGATAAAGATGCAATACAAACCCATCGGTCGAAGGCAAGACCTAGTATGGAAAACTTTTTTTATTTGAAAAGATATTTTTACGAAATTTGTCATGAATTTTTTCAATGTAGTGCTACAATCTCTGCTTAGAACGGATCACTATAATAGCGTAGCCGCTGTCTTTTAATTCGCTGAACTATGTCAAGGTCGTCATATATCTCGTACAGCTCATCGTTCCATCGAATGCGATATTCGCCGTGGCCAACGCGCAAAGGACCATAAATCTTTCGCAGAACTTTTCTCTCGAAAACTCGCAACTCCGACTCATCTGTTGTTGTCATCGTCCAAGCCTCTGCACCATATAGGAGGACGGGAATTATGAGTGACTTATAGAGTTTGGTTTTTGTTTGTCGAGAGAGGACTTTGCTTCTCAATTGCCTACTCAGTCCGAAGTAGCACCTGTTGGCAAGAGTTATCCTGCGTTGGATTTCTAGACTGACATTGTTGGTGGTGTTTACGCTGGTTCCAAGATAGACGAAATTATCTACAACTTCAAAGTTATGACTGTCAACAGTGACGTGAGTTCATATGTCATACAAGCTGGTCTATCAAAATTCAGTTTTTGTAGGGATCATCTTTTTATTACACAAAAAATCCCCAGGAAATTTGGCTAAGTATGTTCTGATCAGACCAGACCACACCCCGTTAGAATATAAAAATTGCAGCAGTGAAGTGTATTATAGCTTCAGTGCAGAAGAATTTAGCATTTTTCCTTGTGTTGAAGCTAGTATAGGTTAACTACGTTTTTTATCAAAAAAAAAAAATTCTTTATCACGACATAAAAAACATGCAAAGATTACAAGAGCTGAAGATAGGCGCAATTCGTGATTAATTACAAAAAATTAGCCAGTAWTTGATTCATTCAAGTTCGCTCGCTCGCCGTTTAAGCAGCATTGTACTAAACTCCCCAGCAACAGCAACAACAGCAGAAAGATGAATCACTGAACTCGAAAGAAACACACGCATTTATTTTCAGAGAAATTCTGTCAAATTTAATAGTGCCACAGCTGCAACTACATCTAACGCCACGTCTTTTGTAATTTTCTAAATTTGTTTCGATAAAGTTGCATTCAATGCTCTCTGTATGCCACACCAGAACGTAATCACCACTCAACATTTGAGTACGAGCTCTGCTTTCTGCTCTAAAAAATACGAAGAAAAGCAACAACAACGTTTTAGTCTTAGAAGCAATATACCATAAGAAAGGGGCTATTAATCACATTAAACTCATTAAGATTTTCCTCTACAAATTTCATATTTTTAAAAGAGTTGGCGCACAGCTATGAAAAAATTTAAAAAACAAGTTTAAACACATATCAAAGGCAGAGATTTATAAAAAAAAAAAATTTTTAACTAGACAAGAGTTGCCATCTCATTAAAAAGTAAGCGCAGCAAACTAAGAATATGTCTGAGGTCAAACACTAAAAGTTGAGCGAAAGACAGTAGGCACTTGAGAAAGCTTTAGCGTAAATATTTTCAAGCAGAGTTTCCGCCTAATTTCAAAACTTTAAAAGCATAATTGTTACCTATACAAATTTGACAAACCCTACGCTTACCCACACTTTTTAGTAAGAGGAAAATACATACATATGTTAATGAGTGCGTATATACATCCTACAGATTTCGAGATCATTGAGCTTCATCTGCCATACGTTCTGTTACAAGATCACACCGTTCTAAAAAAAAAACTTTAAAACATTTGCTTACTAAAGTATAATACAGTTTTTTACTAAAGTTAATTTTATTTTATATAAATGAGCGATGTCCAAAACTTTATTCGAAATTTTTATTTTCGCACCCACAGTTTCTAATGGTATTGATGTCGGTGCTCGAAACAAAGAATTTTTGAAACTCAACAGGTTATGTTCACCAAATCCGAACTTTCAGGCGGCCAATCAGCCGCAGTTATGAAATCAGGATTATTGCTGCTGGTTGGTTTTTGCCTTCATGAAAGGTCCAATTATCTGCATTAAAGAGATTATTGCTTAACTGCCACACCTTCTATATTAGGCTGGTTTAAAAACAGTGTGAATGTAAATGTTTGGCGAAAACTTGAATGAGACAAAGTAGAGAACATCTAATATTAATAAAAATGAATCGTTCATGCAATGTAAGCTACATGACCCCTACTAACCGATCACGTACTGTCACCTTGGCAGCTTTAATCAAACATTCCGTGAATAGAAAATGCTCAGTTTTTACTCCACAAATAGGTAGAAATGACCTATATGCGCAACTCAAAAACAATAGCCTGATAAGTAAAACACAGTAACTGACTACTAAACCAAGCTTACAATATTTATTTGCATTATTTTTTTCTTTTAACTTATGTTCGTCAAGCGAGAAAATATTATAATTATTCCATATTACTTATGAGACACTGGTCGACCACATCTAAGAAAAAAGATAAACACTTATTAATACTTCAAACAGACTGGTTTTCGAAGTTACACTATGCAACAATTAAAAAAGTAAGATACTTATTACTACCGTAGCTGGAAATTGCAATTTATTGAGCCAAAGTAAATACATAAATTTAATAATGAACTTTTTCTCTTATAGTGCAGTTTCTATATTATTTCAGAAGTTTATTCTTAACGAAAGTATAAAACTTCAATAAATAATTCAAAAAGTTTTACTTCTTAGCTTGAAACTTTTAAGTTCAAACCAAAAATTCGCAGAAGTACAGCACAAAGGGTATATTATGTATGTAAGGTCTAGTAAAAGAAATCCACAATTTTTGCATTACCTTGAAAGTTTAGTTTAGTTTGGTTAGAATTATTCAATTTAGATCAAATATGCACCGTTTTGATAATTTCATAATCACATCACTCTCATAGAGATCCTCGTCGCTATTTGCAAAAAATTGTGACAGTCGATTTATACAATCTTTTCATTCGGCGAATTTTACACCGGCAAAATCCTTAACCATAGACAAAATAAAATAGTAATCACTAAGAACCAGGTACAAGCTATATATAAGGTGGATGCATGAAAACAACAGGCACCGGAGCCTGTGGCGAGTCAAATTCGATGAGTATAGGCTGACGTTGTGTTGTTCGAACGCCGTTTTTCTGTTGTTTTGCCAGTACAGGTCCGAAATAAGAGTTTGGTCTTGGAAGATCAGCTCCTAGTAGATGTTTCCCGGACAATCCCACCAAAAACATAGAAAAAACCACCATCAATCATGGCTTGGCCATTGTTTGTGCGAACTCGCCGAGATTTGACCTCGACCGCTTGTCAACTGAAGTTGTGTTCAGTTTTCATCACCAATAACCATCATCGATTTTGTTTCGATTCCGCTGCAAAGACCGGTCCTTGAGATTTTTTTTTCATTAACTCGTGTAAGCCGCATATATTGAGCTCTTTTTTGATTCCGTCTTATTTAAATAACTACAAACATTTTTTTATGTTTGATTTTTTTGTCATGTTTAGCTCGAAAATTTAATCGATTTTCTTGAGCGTGGTGAATCTTTGTCTTCTATATTATCGAAATATTATCTCTTACCGGATAAGTGCCAAAAAAGTCTACTTCTTCTTCTTTACTGACGTAGACATCGCTTACGCGGTTAAAACTGTGTTAACAAAAGCCCGCCAATCGTTTCTTCTTTTCGCTGTTTGGCGCCAATTCGAGACTCCAAGTGCAGCCATATGATGTCTCTAATGGCATGGAGTTATTCCTGTTCATCTGCTTCCACCGGCGAGTACTCAATCAAACACTTTTACAGCTGAAGTGTTCTCTTCCATTCGGACAACATGATCTAGTCAGCACAGCCGCTGGCTCTTGATTCGTAAGTGTCGTCGTATATTTTGTACAGCTTATTGTGCTATCGTCTGTTTTCTCAATCCAAAAGTAGCCACTGTTCTCACGACTGATTCTGCATTGCGTGAGAAGCAAATTGTGAATACCACGACTATTTGTTTGATGACAAGGTATATCCTCTTCGTGCTATCGAAAACGTGTGTGGCGATTTGTATTTTACGGATCTGGAAACTTGAGTAACCCTTGTTTAAGATGCAGTAGCTAACCCTCGTGGTACCGGGGGTAACGGCTAGAAGACAGCCTCGTATAAAAACTGCACTTTTGATGTCGACCCCATCAGAAGTAATAAGGACCATGACCACTACTCTAATTTTGAGCCCCCTTATCTTATCTTATATTTCTAAAGACATTTGGCGTAACTTGAGCATTCTTATACCAAAGGCAACCGGCTACTGATTACTAAAGCCAACCATAAGAGAAATAATAGATTTACTAGACCTTATACCAGTATTATACATACCTGCATATACCAATATTGGTATGTATCGACTACTTAGACAAGTATTTCTGCATTATTCTCTACCTTTCTTTAAGATCGAAATATATTTTTTCCTAAAAATCAATATTATAAATATAATTAATTGGGCGGAGTCGAATGCATTTATAATCGCACAAATAACGATGTACTCCTTTCTATAGCCTGCCAAATAGCCGAAGATCTCCAGTAGCCAACTAATACCCATTATAGTGAACAGGCGAAAGAAGAGCCAAACACTAAAAGAATCGAAATAAAAAGTCTAGTTCACAATAACTGGAACACAATTTTCGAAATCGACTAACTTATTTTGTTGCGAATGCAGACGCTGCATTCGAAAATCATCCCCCGTCAACTTCCGCAGTTCACGCCGTGTTGTCAAGATTTTCTTCATGGTCAAAGAGAAGAGGACAATGTTGAAAACGATAAGTAAAAGACAAGGTCCATAAAAATAAATCATCGCCGACCAGTTAGTAGCTGCATAGAAATTGTGCTTGATTAGTCATATATTTATATGAGTGCAACTTACTATTCAGCCAACAATGTGAGACACCAATACCCGACTTCAGCTCTTCTGGCAGATCGGAATACTGTAAAGTAACCGTTATAGCGGTCATAATAGCTGGCACTCCACAAGCATATAGCGAATAATAGAGAAATTGTTTGCGCTCCGTTGATAGTTGAATGGAAACATTGGTGATGCGAAAATTTTGCCAGAGATTGAAGCAGATCACGTTAAGCCAGAAAAAGACGGCTGTGAAGATATAGTAGTTGACGAATCCTATAAAAATTCAATGAAACCATGACTGATGTATGAACTTACGTCTAATATGAGTCTCTTCTGTAGTATCTTTTCTACAACATCAAGAGGAAATAGCATACTCACCTAAAGTAGCGCAAGCGACATAATCGAATTTCGAAATTCCTAGATTCACCACTACAATTAGCAGCGTTCTATTAGGCAATGAAAATAGATAACATGCTAAACATTTGCCATGTAAGTTCCTTAACTTTCCCATAAGCCACAAACTAAGTATTGTTGCATATAGAAATGGTGCGGAAATCATCAAAACTGTCAAATATATATGAAAGACTCATCTGCGTTATTTTTAAAACTCAAATTGATTACGTTTTAATGTTCTTATCGCTTTCTGTCCCTCACCCTTTGTATATATTGTAACATAACTATATTCGTGTGGCGTGCGTCTTTTTTAGGAAATTTAGTTCAGCGGAAGAGTAAGCGGAAGAAGGGAGCCTTTCTTACTCAACTGTGTTGAATTTTGCACCTGAAAAGTGGTTTTTTTTTTTTTTTTTTTTTTTTTTTTTTTTTTTTTTTTTTTTTTTTTTTTTTTTTTTTTTTTTTTTTTTTTACGGGCGATCAACAGTGAACCATTCTGTGGAATATACAAGAGTTAGTAATATTTTTGTTTTATTTTACTCATGTACATATTTACCTCAAACAATTCCCATCGTTCCAGATCCCTTTGATGTGGAGCTAGCATTTTTCCACTTTCGCACGGTAACCCTCTCTGCATCACAAATTCAGTCAGAATATTCATTGCACGCTGAGTACCGTTGTGCAGCGTTATATTTAAAAACGGTGAATAGTTAATATCGCCTATCGTATCATCGCGTATGGGTTCACATTTTGCTGGAGAGTTTGCATATAAGCGACTCATTTTAGCGCGTGGATCACAACAGAATTTGATACATCGCTTGAGTTGGCACACACAGCCGCGTAAATGCTGCTCCACGAGCTTGCGCTCACCACCGAACAATTCTATGTAATCATAGCAGCCAATCAAATGTGGCGGTACTAACAAATCTACGTAGGAGTAGGTACCGTTCGGAAATTTTTGACTAGCAGTTATGTTGACGGTATCTTCAAAGGCACAATTCGGTATATTCGATAAAACTCCATGACAATTCAATAAATATATAACGATACATACGATGAAGTGCCGAGATCGTAAATTCATGTTCTGTAAAGATTTTGTTTTGCGTGCTTTACTCAACTTATGGTCAACATAATCGGCCTATTCGCAACACCATCACCCATCTTGAGAGCCAGCTCTCATTATTTAATAATATTCGACCGAATATTCCAGCCGTAGCTGGCAGTGTACACGAAGACCGTGGAGAGGCGCTGTTCGCAGCAACTCGGAATAACGTATGGAACGACTTGGCACATTTCGCGTCGAGAACTTGCGCAAGAACTGAAGCCGTTCGACCTTCTCAAGCGACATCTCTTAGTTCTATGAACCCTTTAAAAGTTCCAAGAAGATCGGATCTTCAAAAATGTTGCCGCTGAGAATGGAACCGTAAATAGTGACCGTTATCGTGGCAAGATAATCGACTATTTGATGCCAGAAATTGAAACTCGTAATCTCAGCTACATTTGGTTCCAACAAGATGGCGCCACTTCCTACACATCGCATCAATCAATGGATTTATTAAAATAATACTTCGGTGGGCAGATAATTTCACGATTTGCGCCGGTCGATTGGCCACCAAGATCGTGGGATATCATACCGTTAGACTTTTTCCTGTGGGGATATGTAAAGTCTAAAGTTTGCGGGGAAAATATCGCTTTGTGGCATATCATTAACCAGTTACCAGTCGAAATGATCATCGAAAGTTGGACTCAACGAATGCAGCATATGAGACACTATCACGGTTAATATTTGAAAAAGATAGTCTTTAAAAAAGTAAATGCCAAAGAATATGCTTTCAAATTATAGTAAACATTTTCTCATTGAATTTGAAGTTTCTGCGTTTTGTCTTTGAAAAAACTAGGGCACCTCGAAATGGTCTTTATATCTTATTAAAAATAGCGATGATTCTTTAAACCAATGGTGTACGGATTTAGGCATATTCTAAAGTCATAAATCACAACGAAATGATAACGTATGATTCGTTTCCTCTTCGGATGCGGAAATCGGATATGGAAGAAGAACACTTTTCCGCTGTCATGGATATAGGATAGGGTTATATTTTATGGTACCAGAGGCCAATAAATACGCTTAAGTAAAAACAACAAATTTTTTTCATATTAATATATTTTTAAAATATTTGTTTTTTTTATTTTATTTAAATAATAATATTTCTTGCAATAAAATATAAATTTTTGCGTAAAAATTATTAATAATTCTTAATATCAATTATATAAACTTGATGTATATTTTATAAAAAAATTAAAAGTGTCAGGTATTCACTGAGAGTAAAACATACATTTATGCCTACATACATACATATATTCAAATGATAAAGACCGTTTTCGATTTACCTGATCTATGTTAAGTTACCTCTATTAGAATTCGGTACTCCCATTGAAAAATTTTCATTTGAAAGCAACAAAATAATATCCTTATAGACAAAAATATATGACCGCATTTAATTAGAGTATTATTTTTCTGTATGTCAAATATGATTAATTGCTTCTTCGATTCGTCAAGGTTTGTGAGTGTATTTGTACTTTTCAAAATTAATATTAAAAAATGTATAAACTGTAGTCTTGATATTATTATTCTTCGAATATTAATACAAAATTGTGATTTTTTAAAGTGACAACACGATTTAACCACTTCTTGTCATATATACTGGCTTTTGGTAAAAACTAAATACTTATAAATATTTATTGTGTTGGCGAACACACGATTGCTTGGATGCTCTTGGGCTTCGACAAAACGGTGTCTCATCTTTAAGACTTTATTTTACTATAAAATATTAATACCCACGGTAAACGTTATTATTATTCGAATGTTTTGCAGTTATTCTCTCGATTCTTTATGATTGATTTGATTTTCAGTTTCGAAGTTTCCATCGACTTTCAGCATTGGCTATAAGAAAAAATAAATAAATGGTGGATCAATAAACCTATGTCTTCTCTGTAAATGTTCTAGATTCAGGCTGGAACTATTAAAAAGTTATGCTGACAACATTGCGGCATCCTATTATGTACATACACATGTATATGGCAACAGACCCGAATTAAAAGCTAGGTCTTACAAGTAGTCTATTAGTAGTGTCTATTAATACTACTGTGTTCAAATTAAAAGGTGACTCAATTAAGGATATAAAAGCTGAATCGAAGAAGGCTCTGATGCTCATTATGACAGAGGATTTTTCCAAGTGCTATTATGACTGGAAAATTCATTGGCATAAGTGTATTGCAGCGGAAAGGGATTACTTTGAAGGAAGATGAAATGGACAAAATTCACATTTCATTTTGATCACAGTAGTATATGTCTTTCATCAAAGCTTATTGCTTTCGAAATACCTCTTATATTCTCCTGAGAGCTTAGGTACACTCTATACTATAATTCTTAGTGGTATCTCTAAACGAACTTCGCTTTTTTAACTTGTTTGCGTTTGTCTTAATCGCTTTATCTCTCAAATCTAAATTTTGTAAAAATTTTCCTTCTTCAGAGAAAACTATGCTAATTTCGTCAAGGAGTATTTATTCGGATCTTTTTAACCCTCCAAGCTCCATTAAAATTAACAATTTTTACGGACTTTTAGAAAAGCTTTTCAAAACTCTTCTGCTATAATGTTTTCGAAAACTCAGTTCAATGTTTTTTTGAATACTGTAGTTTTCATATAATAATTAAATATAATTATAAAATAGTTCTAAAGACAATGTCCTTTCATGTTTTCACGTTACTTACATAACTCCATGGCCGACGTGCTGGACTTCGTAAATCTTCTACTTGAAAGCTGCAACGAGTTATCCGATTTAGTAAATCTAAAAAGGTGAGTGGTTAATACTATATAACTACAATTTTGTTAATTAAAGCATACAAGACAGTCTTTCATATAAATAAAATATAATATATATGGTACGTAAGTAATGACGTCCTCGGTATTTCGAGAGAAATATATCGTATTATGAATGCTTGATATATGTTTAACTCAAAGCAAGAAAAAAGTCAACTTCGGTTGCCCCCATGGTTTATTACCGTTCACAAAGACAAAATTTTAATTACAACTACTAGTTAAAGGAAGAGGAAGACCTCCGCTCCGCTAAAGATATCAGGTGAAAAAAAGATCTGACTGCTCATGGTGTCTCGAATTGGCACAAAATTGCTAAAAGAAGAAACGATTAGCGCGCTATGGTTAATTCGCTACAACCCCGTAAGCGCTGTCTACACCATTAAATAAGAAGAAGCAGACGCTTCCTTTCTTTTGGTGTTGCAAACATTGTGGCAAACTTAGTATGCACCGTTCAATGTAAAACTGGCTTTTATTTGCCAATATATTATTTATAGCGAATCGAACAGACTACTACTAGCTTAAATCGGATAGATTAGTACAACCAATGGAATATAATAGCAAGCCATTTTAACATTATAGTAGCTCTACGCATAATCTGTAGTTTTGAATTCAACTATATAAGTTTTTCATTGTTTCCCTTGAAAATTTTTTAACGATACGAGAGAAGTGGCGAATCTTCTATCGCGGCTCCTTTATGATAGTTTTAGGTTTTTTGTAACTTTGTTTTTAATAAAATAATAATTTTGTCTACAGTTTCAACAAACTTGGCTCGATCTCTTTAATAAGTGACTATCAAGCACCGAATTAAAATATACAATATTATTCACTCAAAAAATCCTTTATAGGACCATTTCACCCCAGTAGAGTTGTATCTGACATTACTATCCGTAGCATACGGAAGCTCACTGACGCATAACAAACAAAAATTTTGAGAAAATGAAACTTCCAATCACCTTTTCTTTATCAGCAATAGCACCTTCTTTTTCACAACCAGTAATATGAATATGATTAGCCCCTGTGAGGCATTGTAGACATCCGTGACCGCAAAAAGCAGAACATATTTACTGTTATTGCCAACCATGTAACTGATAATCTCCAGTAGCCAGCCAATACCCATTACAATGAACATGCGAAAGAAGAGCCATACACTGAAAGATGCCAGCAAATGTTTACTTTTTATTAGTAAAAAAGCAATAAACATGAATCTGGTCATATGAATAATACAGTACTCACTTATTTTGCTGTGAACGCAAATGCCTTTGACTGCAGTCGCTGCGTGAAAAATGTTGCAGCTCCTTACGTATTTCATAGATTTTATTTGCCGTTAAGAAAAATATGCCAATATTGAAGATAATCAGCAGTAGGCAGGGTCCATGGAAATAAATCATCGCTGACCAGTCGTCAACTGGAAATTTGTATAGTATTAGATATATAAATAAAATGAGGTTATATCACGTTTAAGGCTATACAAGTATATCAACCACTTACCTTTCAACCAACAGTGTGTATCCCCAATGCCTGACTTGAGTTCATGTGGTAAATTTGAAAATTGCAAACTGGCTGTTATTATTGTCATCAACGCTGGCATGCCCCAAGCATAGAGTGAGTAGTAAAGAAACCGTTTACGCTGTGTTAAGTTTCGCACTGCACCTTGGGTCATACAGAAATTTTGCCAAAGATCGAAGCAGATCACATTTAGCCAGAAGAAGACGGCAGTTAGGAAGAAATATGACACGAAACCTGTTGGAATAAAGTTTTAGACTAACTGGAATTCTTGTATATTTTATAGAGTGTAGGGGAACAATCCGGAAAGCCAATTAGTTTAGAAATTTCATACAGATCAAAATTTCTTCGCTAGTTGAGTGGAATGTCACCAATTTTTTAAACATCTTAGATGAAGACAGTAACGTGTTTTTCAATAAGACCGAGGCGGCTAATGTGTCGTTTGTGGCGCCGTCCTGTTGACATATATTGACCAAGTTCATATCATCCAGTTCGGCCAAAAATATTCGGTTATCATTGAGAAGTAGCGATTTCCATTCACAGTAACGTGCCGGTCTTGATCATCACCGAATAAGTACGCCCCAACGACGCTGCCGGCCCTTAAACGGCACCAAACCGTATTTTTTCGGAATGCAATGATGACTCATGGAGTACGCGTGGATTGCTGCCGGACCAATAATACATAGACACTTACTTCCGAATTTCGGTAGTGATCATAAACGTGAAAGGAGCGGAAAAAATATGTTATATATGCATATTTACTAATGGATATGACGCGATGTCGTCATTATTCAAAAGATTCCTGAATTGGCAAACAATAGAAAGACAAAATCTATCTGTATTATTTTGAAAGGCATTTCTCTAAGACTTCTATCGACTTAAAAGAGGATTTTTATGTCCAAAATCCTACATATATATGTACTTCTTAGTTAAAATTTTAATATTTAAATGTTTAGTGATCTTATAGTATGATAAGCCATAATTCGATAAAAGTAATTACAATCGGAATAGCAGAAGGTCTGCGAAGGAAGAATGCAGAGAGCTTGGAATTTTCTAAAGAAATTCTGGAATTGGATCAATCAGATCATACTATATATTTTAAGTTGGGTACGATCGAAGTTTCTATATCAAAAAAAAAAAAAAAAAAGATTTCCTATTTAAATAATGCAAAACCTTGGAAAAACTTACCGATTATAGCGCAAGCAAAAGTTTCAAATTCTGAATGCAGCATATTGACCAAAACAATGAGCGTCGTGCCAATAGCTAACGAAAGTAGATAACAAATCAGGCATTTCGTATGCAAGTTCCACAATTCCGGTATGAGCCAATAGATCAGGATGGTGACATAAAGAAATGGAGCCGAAATCAGCATGACTGGAAAGGCAAACAAAATGAAATGTAAGCACTATCACACTCCCTTCACTTTCTCGGTATCTTTCGCTTACTTATCGTATTCAGCATGAGCGTTGCTGGCTCTTTATAAACAACCGGACAATTCATCGGATTCAACACAAACTCTTCACTCGTATTATAGGCCTGCAAGCAATAATCTCGCCTCGAGTAATATTTCGCATCACCGAGGCGCAACAATGTGCCATTCTGTAACAAAAAACCGATAACTGCTTCACTTGAAGAATGCGCAGTCGCAACTTAGGTTTACATACCTCAAATAACTCCCACTGATCGTCTTCGTATACATGTGGCATTAGCATATAGCCACCTTCGCATGGTATCCCCTGCTGCACCACAAACTCATCCAGCAGATGCATCACGACCCGACTGCTGTTTCGCAATGTTACATTCAAAAGTGGCGTGTATTTGAGCTCCTGATTAAGTACTTCTTCACATTGAGGCGTGGCAGTCGCGCTTGTCTGATACATATCCGCTCTTGGGTGACAGCAAAACTTCACACATTGCTTGATCTTGCACACACAACCGCGTACATGCCTCTCCACAGGCTTACGCTGACCTTCGAAGAGCTCAATATAGTCATATTCGGCTGTTAGATGTGGCGGCACCAATAGCCCTTCATAGAGGTACGATCCATTGGCAAATTTGCTACTATCGGTTAAGGCGACAGTGTCTTCGAATACACAGTTGGCTATATCAGCTAGAGTGCTTTGATAAAAGATAGCGGCTACAATTAGCAATTGGCAAATACGCGTCGTCATTTCATCGGTTTGTGGAATTGAAAATGGAGGTGTTCCTCTCTGTAAGTTTAAAAAAAAAACCTTTAATGCAAATTATTGTATTGGGAAGCTGAAAATTTTCATTGACTCAGACTCATAACATCTCAGGGAAAATTGACTTTATATCCATCATAAAAAAGTTTCATAGTTTTTTTTTCTCTTTAATAAACCATGTAAATGATTCGCCCATAATATATTTAACTAGCGTTAGAAACAATTGGTTTGACTAGTTTGCTTCACTATGTAGCGTGTATGTAGTGTGTGTTGTAGTTTTTAAGTAATTCAGAACATATTTCTCAAATAACTCATAGTTCGGGAATTGATCAGCGATAGATTACTCGATGCATTCGTTTTGTCAACACCTTCTTCAAATAACTACCAATTACCAACATAATAATGCCAATTTACTTTTGAAATTTTATTCGGAAAAGGTTTTCCATAGTGTAGAAGAAAAACTGATCGACCCTTACATTAATTCAGCACTTACTAACCTTAAACTCGTTAAGTAAATAATTGACCATCAAAAGTTAATAGTCAAGAGTTCAGGCGCTTAGTATTGAAGGCGCTCAAACCTGCTCATTGCTGTTTCGAAAGGATTTTTCAAATATAATTGATAATCTTTGTGGTTAACATTTGTAATAAAGCTACAATCAGCTTTTGACCATCTATTTCACACGTCCTAAAACTCAATTCCTTTAACACTTTTTCATGCCCTTGTGGGGTTTTAAGGGGAATCAATTTACTGTCTTATTAAATTCTACAACAGCTCTAGAATATTGTCCTACATTTTCAAGCTGATCCGAGTAATAGTTTCGAAGATTTGAGAACTTAAGGTTTGAGAACTTATACGCTCGAAGCTTGCTAGGCTAAGAGCGCTGTGTTTAAACGCGCTTTTCTCGAATCTGTGTGTTTGAAGTCGGTTGGCAAGATTTCTCGAGAACTACTCAACCGATCTTCTTGAAATTGAAGAAATTGACTTGAACTTGGATTTTAACAAAAACACATATTATTCACTTTAGATTATCATGTAAGATCATGCGGAACATCCTTTTTCCGAGGAGTAACGGAAAGCACCATCTCAAGTCGCTAGATTGAGAAGATATTGCTTTTAAAAGATCGCTGTATGTATCAAGTATTTGCGAATGGTATCAGACCATGAATTGTCTCAAACTAATTGAGTTAATTTCTGAGATTACAAATCATTATCTAAGTGAAAGACAGACGAAAAACCATCGACAATAGTTTAATTGGTCCCTAAACTCAAAGTTCGAGAGTAAAATTCGCATCGTCTACTTAGATCTGAAGAAATCTTTATTAAATTATTAAAATTCAATTAACTGCGGTTAGTTCGGAAATAGCCTAACCGCTAGAGTACAATTTGTATTACTATTATTTTTATTTAAAAGACCTTATTGTTAAATTTATATTTTCTAGTAGGTCCTATCACGACACTGATTCTCGCTCGTAGGCGTGTAGGCGTTGAACTCGTGTAATAATTATATTAGTCAGCGCACAAATTAAGCCACCAACTCGAAACTGCCTTTTTATTATATACCGGCAAGCTTTGACTGATAACAGTACTCTGTTCGAAGCTTACAAATGTTTTTTTTTATGAGTAATTATGCGATAATGAGGCATAAATAACTGAAAATGCGAGTGACAAGCGAGCCTGCAGTTAATGAAAAAAGTATAACGGAAAAAATGCAAAAATAATTAAAATCAGAATAAGAATGTAAATGAAGAAACGCTTTAGAACGCTATTAACTTGGATTGCTTGGGGAAATTGATATGAGTGGATTGAAAAAATACTAATTTACAACAACACAGTGAGCGCTGTTTGGTTGTAAATTATATAATTTTTTTTTATATATAAGTAGGTGTTATCTAAATATGCAACCTTCATTTGGTCTTGTAAGGATCCAGTAATCAAGAGTTTATTCAAAGAAACGAAACTATATTTATCAAACACTTCCTAGCCTGAATGAGTAACATCCAAGAACTATAGTATATAAGCATGTTTTTGTTACAGATGTTAAAATTAATGTTTTGAGAAACTCTTGAATCATTTCTTAAAAAGCTCACACATTTGCGATACGCAAGAATGTAAGCTGCACAGCTGCCTAATCCGTTTGGCTAAGCAAACAAATATTTCATACCAGAAATTTATCAAGTTCAAGAGAAAAATATTAGGTTTACTCAACGATGTATTTCTGCGTTGCTATTTGCTTAACTTTAAATTAGTAATCGATTACCGATGGTATTTTTCAGTAGCACGACGTAATGGAACTTACAGCAATAATGCAAAAAGTATAGTATTATGTAGACGATGACAGATTTAAGAATTTTAAAGTTTTCTAACAAATTTTGTACTCTTATATAGGATTATCTATATTCAAACGAACAGGATGACGAGACGAATTGAAATCCAGATGACTGTCTGTCCGTCCGTGCAACATTTATTTTGATGAAACTTGGTAAAAATGTTCCTTGGCAAAAAACTAATTCGAAGTTCGTACATGGACGTAATCGGACCGCCACTTTTAGATAAAATCACATATCTTCGGACAACCGACCGGCTCGACCGATTTCAACCAAATTCAGTTCGTAACATTCTTATATTACTGAGTGAAAGTTTGCGAAATCGGACTAACATAGATAAAATTGAGCGAATTTCCTCCAGACCTAACCTCATATCAACTCTGAAGGCTATATGTGACCTGGTCTATGAAAAGGGAGCTAACGTGCGAAAACTAGTTTTCTGGGAAACAGCTGTTAAAAAAAAGCATCTCATCTTCCATCCGAATCAACTAAAAAGTGAAGTTTTTGACACCTAAGCCCCCTTTCCGCAGACCAGGTCACATATAGTAATTACCGATTGTTTGTTTGTAGCAAAACTCTTAACGCCGGGGTCATGAACTCAAGCCGTTCGGTCACAGCGATCGCCTTTATTGCCTAATATATACAACAGGGTATTTATATGTACTCATATTAATATTATATGTATATTTAAAAATGGTTTACTTTCTTATCGTGCCTGTGCAAAATATTTCATAAACTTTAGATTAAAAGTTGATGAGGAATAAATCCCTTTGTACTTTCTTTAATATAGCTTTTTTTTTTATAAAATTGCTAATTTTTGGAGGCTCTTTATTGCATGTAAAATATGTTGTTATCAGTAAAAGAAAATTTTTTTTATGAATTAGCGCCTTTAGTTTATTTTATCTTAGTTGAAATATTTTACATTGCTGAGTGTTTTTTATACTTTGTGTGTGAAAACTTTACTTAAGTCCAGTTACTATTACTTTTTAGAATTTAGTTGGCTAGGCATCGATTGTACTAAATTTGGCAACTCGTTCGTTCCTTGAGTATAACAACGGTAAAAATCTGTTTATTTTTTCTAATGCTTTCTTCTTAAAATTTCCTAGACATGTACTAATACATTAAGGATAATGTTTCACCAGCCAACTATTATTAATTTCCACCCTATGCTTTAGATCCTTATCTTGTTGAAATATTCAACTGGTATTGAGTTCTAAATTATCCACTTAAAGTGTCAGTTTATTTCTAACAGCGACTTTTACTTGTTACGCTCCACATCACCCTCAATAAAAGCTAATATCGTAACCACAGAGTAGGCAACAGCTCTCCGAACCATTACGTTGCCGCCATCGTGCTTTAGAGTTTACACTAAATTCTTCGGTGTCTTTCAAGCCTTAGTTTTGCTTTTTCTTCTATCACTACTAAAAATGTAAGTAGTGTAGTGGAGGTACCACTCATCTGGTAGTAAAGCCGTTCTTTGGTGAGTTCTAAACCAAATTTCCTTTCTTTTCTGAGATAAGAAGCTTATTGTTTAGTGTTCTGCAGTGGAATCTCTTATTATTTAAAGTTCTTTGTATTGTTAATTAATAGATGATCTTTTTTGACCTATTTGCTATGTGTTTGGTTCATTTTGAAGCAGGAAATTTTGAATATTTGTCCGCTTTTTTGAGAATCCAGCTGACGTTTCTACACGATAAGTTTCTCGCATGACCACTGCGCGGCATAATTCTTTAGAACCACTTATTCTTGAAGTCGGTACCGTCGTTCGACTCTTCGTGAAAATTTTAGTTTTTTGTGATTACAAGTAAATAAGATTAGAATAAGCTTTATCTTCACATTTAAAAAAAAAATATCTGTAATTTCAGAACCACGAAAACAGGGGGTGTATGTAGTTGGACATTTGTCCGCCACTGTATATCAAAAAACATTGTGCGTGTCAAATCATTTCAGCATCTCCGCAGACAGTTAATGGTCAGTGTGTGACCAAAAGAAGTATTAACTGTTTTTAAGGGTGTATATGGGTTTACGGGTTTCAAGAAAATCGATTTTTTTTATCATCTTATTAAATTCTACAAAACCTTAAGAATATTGTCCTAAATTTTGAACTTGATCCGAATAATAATTTCGAAGATATAGCCTTGGGAATTTTTGCGCTCGAGGCTAGCTAGGCTAAGTGCGCCGTCTTTAAACGCGTTCTTCTCGAAACTGTGTTTTGAAGTCGGTTGGCAAGATTTATGGAGAACTACACAACCGATCTTCATGAAATTTTACACAGGTCTTTTAGATACTAGACTTGGTCAAAGATTTTTTTTTATTGAAATTTTTAATTTTTTGTAAAAATGTCTGCCAAAAATCCAATTTTCAGTTTTTTCCTTCGTTCAATTTCTAAGTTAAAGTTTTATTATAAACACGTATTTTTTCACTTTAGCTGATCCTGTAAGGAGTTATCCTGCCAATGCGGGCCCATATTCTTTCCAATGGGTCACCGGAAGTAGCGTCGCACTGGCCGAGTTTAGAATATTTGTTTCCAAAAATTTCAGAATTTTTTTTGTTAATATGTAGTGATGTTTGTAACAATAAAAAATTCTAATAAAATAATTCATTTTTTATATGAGAACAAAATTGTTGAAAAAAAGCTCTTTTTTACCCCAGGAAACCCATGTAACCCCTTAATGGAATATTTTTTCTAAATGCCGAATGAA